AGCGTCCAGGCCTTTTCTGCTCCTCACCCCACCCCACCCATGAGGAGTTGGGAGGGGACACAGCTGGGACAGTTGACCCCAGCTGACCAAAGGGACATCCCATACCATATGGCGTCATGCTCAGCATATAAAGCTGGGGGACGAAGGAGGAAGGGTGGGATGTTTGGAGTGATGGTGTTTGCCTTCCCAAGTCACCGTTACGCGTGATGGAGCCCTGCTTTCCTGGAGATGGCTGAACACCTGCCTGCCGAGGGGAAGCGGTGAATGAAGTCCTTGTTTTGCTTTCCTTCTGTGCACAGCTTTTGCTTTACCTATTAGACTGTCTATCTCAACCCATGAGTTTTCTCACTTTTACTCTTCCAATTCTCCCCCCCATCCCACCAGGGGAGAGTGAGCGAGCAGCTGTGTGGGGCTTAGTTGCCAGCTGGGGTTAAACCATGACAGAGGCCCTCCGCATCTGCGCCTTTTCTGTCTCTGATAGCTCTGAACAGAGATTATTCTAAAGGGCAGTTTTCATCTCCGTAATGCTGTGTTGTCCAGGAGCATGTGAAAGGTGCCGTGCCACCAGCCCTGTAAATTGCACTCCTCCTTACACAAAGAGTGACTAAAGAGGAGTGACCCTCAGCTCTGCTCTGGAGAAGCACCCCGTGACAAGCAGCATGTCCTCCACAACTATTCCCTGCTTTGCTTGTTTATTGAAAACACTAGGATGGATAATTGAATACATATGTTTCTACAAGCTTGGCTGAAGCCACCAACGCAGTTCACATGAGCCAAATATTAATTAAGTTACAATTTTTGGTTACTCCCACACAAAGCAAACTTGAACCAGCACTGTAGATGTAAAAGCCCTGTATGCCCCTTGATGCACGAAACCAGCTCCCTTGCCTCTATCAAAGCAATTCTCAAGGAGCATCCCTGTCCTGTGGTCCGGTTCCTTCCGAAGCAGGGAGCTGCACAACTGATGTATCATTGCCTTTTTTATTTCTTGAGGCATGCAGTGACCTCTCGTGGCAGTGGGGGAATCCCTTTCCTTTAATGCTCTGCCATGTAGTAAAACAAACCTTTCCAGCACTTTATAATGATTTTCCTGTTCTCTGTATTTTTTTAAAGGAGAAAATTGACTTTTAATGTGTCTAGGAGATTAAAACAATTAGGTTGAAGTGCAGAAAATACCAGATGCTTCAAGGGAAGCAAATCTTAATGCCTCAAGTCACCTGGAGAATACTTTATTTGAGGTGGGGCAGCACTGACTTCCTCAATTCCTCAGCACAAGGCTTGTTCAGCCTCACTATGCATGACTACAGAAGTCATTACTCATCTCCAAATGATCAAATACATTTTAACTTGCACAGTTGCAAAATTTGTATATTTGCATATGTTTCACTTTATACAAATTATGTTCTTTTTTCTTGTGCTAATTTTATAAACCAATGCTTGCTGGAGTACCAGTCACTCACTGGGTTACAGCTGCATTCCTGTAGCAAAACTCCCATTACCACTATCACTCACACAGCTCCTCCATCTGCCTTACTTCTGTCCATTTACATGCTAGCACTTGCAAAGAATTAAAGTACTTTGAACTCTGAGACAAAAAGTTAGCCTACAGTGTTGGCAAACAGAGTCGAACATTCAGATTATTTCTGTTAACTTGACCTAAATCTCACTTTTATCACACAGTATAAAGATTGTTTTATCACAAAGTATAAAGATTGTTAAAATTATGTAGCTGCTTGACTGCATATTACACTTTGCAATAAAGGTGCAGTTCACACAGGCAGTTATATGTAAATGGAAAGAGTCCAAG